CCTAAGTAAATTTACTTACCTATATGAGAACTTTATTTACAATGTTCATTATTTATTTCTTTTTATTATCACACTGGCCGATTCCCACCAAGGCAGGGTGGCCCGAAAAAGAAAAACTTTCACCATCATTCACTCCATCACTGTCTTGCCAGAAGGGTGCTTTACACTACAGTTTTTAAACTGCAACATTAACACCCCTCTTCCAGAGTGCAGGCACTGTACTTCCCATCTCCAGGACTCAAGTCCGGCCTGCCGGTTTCCCTGAACCCCTTCATAAATGTTACTTTGCTCACACTCCAACAGCACGTCAAGTATTAAAAACCATTCGTCTCCATTCACTCCTATCAAACACGCTCATGCATGCCTCCTGGAAGTCCAAGCCCCTCGCACACAAAACCTCCTTTACCCCCTCCCTCCAACCTTTCCTAGGCCGACCCCTACCCCGCCTTCCTTCCACTACAGACTGATACACTCTTGAAGTCATTCTGTTTCGCTCCATTCTCTCTACATGTCCGAACCACCTCAACAACCCTTCCTCAGCCCTCTGGACAACAGTTTTGGTAATCCCGCACCTCCTCCTAACTTCCAAACTACGAATTCTCTGCATTATATTCACACCACACATTGCCCTCAGACATGACATCTCCACTGCCTCCAGCCTTCTCCTCGCTGCAACATTCATCACCCACGCTTCACACCCATATAAGAGCGTTGGTAAAACTATACTCTCATACATTCCCCTCTTTGCCTCCAAGGACAAAGTTCTTTGTCTCCACAGACTCCTAAGTGCACCACTCACTCTTTTTCCCTCATCAATTCTATGATTCACCTCATCTTTCATAGACCCATCCGCTGATACGTCCACTCCCAAATATCTGAATACGTTCACCTCCTCCATACTCTCTCCCTCCAATCTGATATCCAATCTTTCATCACCTAATCTTTTTGTTATCCTCATAACCTTACTCTTTCCTGTATTTACCTTTAATTTTCTTCTTTTGCACACCCTACCAAATTCATCCACCAATCTCTGCAACTTCTCTTCAGAATCTCCCAAGAGCACAGTGTCATCAGCAAAGAGCAGCTGTGACAACTCCCACTTTGTGTGTGATTCTTTATCTTTTAACTCCACGCCTCTTGCCAAGACCCTCGCATTTACTTCTCTTACAACCCCATCTATAAATATATTAAACAACCACGGTGACATCACACATCCTTGTCTAAGGCCTACTTTTACTGGGAAAAATTTTCCCTCTTTCCTACATACTCTAACTTGAGCCTCACTATCCTCGTAAAAACTCTTCACTGCTTTCAGTAACCTACCTCCTACACCATACACTTGCAACATCTGCCACATTGCCCCCCTATCCACCCTGTCATACGCCTTTTCCAAATCCATAAATGCCACAAAGACCTCTTTAGCCTTATTTAAATACTGTTCACTTATATGTTTCACTGTAAGCACCTGGTCCACACACCCCCTACCTTTCCTAAAGCCTCCTTGTTCATCTGCTATCCTATTCTCCGTCTTACTCTTAATTCTTTCAATTATAACTCTACCATACACTTTACCAGGTATACTCAACAGACTTATCCCTCTATAATTTTTGCACTCTCTTCTATCCCCTTTGCCTTTATACAAAGGAACTAAGCATGCTCTCTGCCAATCCCTAGGTACCTTACCCTCTTCCATACATTTATTAAATAATTGCACCAACCACTCCAAAACTATATCCCCACCTGCTTTTAACATTTCTGTCTTTATCCCATCAATCCCGGCTGCCTTACCCCCTTTCATTTTACCTACTGTTATTCCTCCTTGCCCTATACACGAAATCACAGCTTCCCTATCTTCATCAATATTTAACAATTCCTCAAAATATTCCCTCCATCTTCCCAATACCTCTAACTCTCCATTTAATAACTCTCCTCTCCTATTTTTAACTGACAAATCCATTTGTTCTCTAGGCTTTCTTAACTTGTTAATCTCACTCCAAAACTTTTTCTTATTTTCAACAAAATTTGTTGATAACATCTCACCCACTCTCTCATTTGCTCTCTTTTTACATTGCTTCACCACTCTCTTAACCTCTCTCTTTTTCTCCATATACTCTTCCCTCCTTGCATCACTTCTACTTTGTAAAAACTTCTCATATGCTAACTTTTTCTCCCTTACTACTCTCTTTACATCATCATTCCACCAATCGCTCCTCTTCCCTCCTGCACCCACTTTCCTGTAACCACAAATTTCTGCTGAACACTCTAACACTACATTTTTAAACCTACACCATACCTCTTCGACCTCATTGCCTATGCTCTCATTAGCCCATCTATCCTTCAATAGCTGTTTATATCTTACCCTAACTGCCTCCTCTTTTAGTTTATAAACCTTCACCTCTCTCTTCCCTGATGCTTCTATTCTCCTTGTATCCCATCTACCTTTTACTCTCAGTGTAGCTACAACTAGAAAGTGATCTGATATATCTGTGGCCCCTCTATAAACATGTACATCCTGAAGTCTACTCAACAATCTTTTATATACCAATACATAATCCAACAAACTACTGTCATTTCGCCCTACATCACATCTTGTGTACTTATTTATCCTCTTTTTCTTAAAATATGTATTACCTATAACTAAACCCCTTTCTATACAAAGTTCAATCAAAGGGCTCCCATTATCATTTACACCTGGCACCCCAAACTTACCTACCACACCCTCTCTAAAAGTTTCTCCTACGTTAGCATTCAGGTCCCCTACCACAATTACTCTCTCACTTGGTTCAAAGGCTCCTATACATTCACTTAACATCTCCCAAAATCTCTCTCTCTCCTCTACATTCCTCTCTTCTCCAGGTGCATACACACTTATTATGACCCACTTCTCGCATCCAACCTTTACTTTAATCCACATAATTCTTGAATTTACACATTCATATTCTCTTTTCTCCTTCCATAACTGATCATTTAACATTACTGCTACCCCTTCCTTTGCTCTAACTCTCTCAGATACTCCAGATTTAATCCCATTTATTTCCCCCCACTGAAACTCTCCTACCCCCTTCAGCTTTGTTTTGCTTAGGGCCAGGACATCCAACTTCTTTTCATAACATCAGCAATCATCTGTTTCTTGTCATCCGCACTACATCCGCGCACATTCAAGCATCCCAGTTTTATAAATTTTTTCTTCTCTTTTTTAGTAAATGTCTACAGGAGAAGGGGTTACTAGCCCATTTCTCCCGGCATTTTAGTTGCCTCATACGACACGCATGGCTTACGGAGGAAAGATTCTTTTCCACTTCCCCATGGACAATAGAAGAAATAAAGAAGAACAAGAGCTATTTAGAAAAAGGAGAAAAACCTAGATGTATGTATATATATATATATATATATATATATATATATATATATATATATATATATATATATATATATAATGCATGTGCGTGTCTGTGAAGTGTAACCAAAGTGTAAGTAGGAGTAGCAAGATATCCCTGTTATCTAGCGTGTTTATGAGACAGAAAAAGAAACCAGCAATCCTACCATCATGCAAAACAGTTACAGGTTTTTGTTTCACAGTCATCTGGCAGGATGGTAGTATTTCCCTGGGTGGTTGCTGTCTACCAACCTACTACCTCTTTATTATATACACAAAAAACGCTAAGCCCAGATGGTTCGTACTAACAGTTCAACAGAACCGAGGAATGGGTGGGATCTCACACTTTCCTGTTGAATAAATTATGCTGGGTACTTACCTGGAGATACCTGGAGAGGGTTTCGGGGGTCACCGCCCCCGCGGCACGGTCTGTGACCAGGCCTCGCGGTGCATCAGGGCCTGATCAACCAGGCTGTTACTGCTGGCAGCAGGCAAACCAACGTACAAACCACAGCCCGGCTGATCAGGTACTGACTTTAGGTGCGTGTCCAGCGCCTTCATGTGACTTGTACTACGTTTCTTTTCGGCGAGTTTTTTTTTAACTAACTTAGTGTACTTTTATATCACTCTGACGCAGCATAATGAGCTACGTTGCGCTTGTTTTATTGATGTTTCGACGTCCCCTGAAATTGCAACTTTGTCAGGCATGAATACTTAACGTTTGAACTTTAGCAATGTTCCGCCGATCTTGAAATGCGTGTGATGGCAAGTTTTACAAACTTTCTCTTTGATTATTGTTTGATAATAGACGATACCTGTGAGTCTCTGTTTCTCTTAATAGCCTGATGTGACGTCAGATCCCCGAACTGGCCACAACGTTCCTCCGAACTGTTCGCCAGTGCTGCGATTGTTTTAATTTTCTTGCTTTTGTACTGTAGGCGAGGATAGTTTAAGGCTACAAAATTGATGTTTGTGTCAGGTTCCTATAGTTGTCAGTTGGTGTGGTTAAAGGTGACTGGGTCTTCGTATTTCCCCTTGTCACTGACTGAGGCACATCAGCCCTTCGTGTGGACCTGTGATAGACCAAATGACAACGTAGTCGTGATATTTGCAGAGCAAATGATATCATACTCGGTCGCTTTACTAAGCTTACCTATGACTCCAATAGGTCAGTTTCTTCTAATATTTTAATCAGGGGAAGTGTTAAGCCCGTACGGGCTATACAGCCCCTGCAGAACAGCAGGCATTCAGATTCGATCCAAGAATGGAGAGGATACTATGGTGCACTGTGCACCCCTCACCTTGATGCACTGTGCACCCCGCACCTTGATGCACTGTGCACCCCGCACAATAATGCACTGTGCACCTCCCTATCGTCATATGGGACACCTTCTTTACCGCGGCACTGTGCACCTCCCTTCAGTGCTCCAAACACAGTGTATGCAACCTTACAGTGTTGCATACACTGTGTACCCACCGTGATATACGCACTGTGCACCTCCCGTGATATACGCACTGTGCACCTCCCGTGATATACACACTGCACCTCTCGTGATAGTGTGCATGTGTGTCCCCCATTACAGTGTGCACCTCCCTGTGTGATACACTGTGTATCACTCTACAGCATAAAAAGAAAAGTTGGCACCTCCGCAAAGTGACCCAGATACAGTGTTCACCTCCCTACAGCGAGTGTGCACCTCCCTACAGCGAGTGTGCACCTCCCTACAGCGAGTGTGCACCCCCTACAGCGAGTGTGCATCCCCCTACAGCGAGTGTGCACCCCCTACAGCGAGTGTGCACCTCCCTACAGCGGGTGTGCACCTCCCTACAGCGGGTGTGCACCTCCCTACAGCGAGTGTGCATCCCCCTACAGCGAGTGTGCACCCCCTACAGCGAGTGTGCACCTCCCTACAGCGGGTGTGCACCTCCCTACAGCGGGTGTGCACCTCCCTACAGCGGGTGTGCACTTCCCTACAGCGGGTGTGCACCTCCCTACAGCGGGTGTGCACCTCCATACAGCGGGTGTGCACCTCCCTACAGCGAGTGTGCACCTCCCTACAGCGAGTGCGCACCTCCCTACAGCGAGTGTGCACCTCACTACAGCGGGTGTGCACCTCCCTACAGCGGGTGTGCACCTCCCTAGAGCGGGTGTGCACCTCCCTACAGCGGGTGTGCACCTCCCTACAGCGGGTGTGCACCTCCCTACAGCGAGTGTGCACCTCCCTACAGCGAGTGCGCACCTCCCTACAGCGAGTGTGCACCTCCCTACAGCGAGTGTGCACCTCCCTACAGCGAGTGTGCACCTCCCTACAGCGAGTGTGCACCTCCCTACAGCGGGTGTGCACCTCCCTACAGCGGGTGTGCACCTCCCTACAGCGGGTGTGCACCTCCCTACAGCGAGTGTGCACCTCCCTACAGCGAGTGTGCACCTCCCTACAGCGAGTGTGCACCTCCCTACAGCGAGTGTGCACCTCACTCCCGATACACAAATCGAATCCGGATCTCTGATTAAAGAACGTGCAAAAAACACATAAATAATATTTTAATATATTTTACTGTTTATTTCGATTATACTCCCCCCTCCCCCCACCAAAAAAAATTGATTAATGTAAATTAATTATATGTATAGAAAAGATTGATGTGTTGCCCTGGATCACCACGTCAATATCCAACAGCTGCATATGACAGTATTTTAGGCTTTTCAAAAAAAAGAGAGGGGGGGGGAGATCATGTCAAATCCTTTTACAAATTGGATGCATTTTTCACCGCTCCAAACATGCCATAGTGGATTCCGGCATGTCAAATTGTTATATTAATATTGTATGGAATTTGTAAACCACACGGGAAGCCTTTTTTTTTTTTTTTTTTTAGTTTTTGTGACAGTTGTTATATCTGTAGTTGTTGGATACAGGGTGGAAACACTCTATCTTGCATAGCCGTATAGATGGTATTCACGGAACGTCTTGCTTGGAGATGAGACGTCTCTCAAGAAGTCTGGACACTTGGGGACCCCAAGCGAAGCAATGGTCATTCATTTTTTTTTTAATACGTGTACAACAGCGGTCACCTTTTAAATATATGAAAAAGTGAAAGGACTTGTGATTACATAAGGCTGACAATGAATCAAGAAATCAATAGACCACACTTGTATAAGTCAAACAAATCAGATACGTAATGGCACCGAATGCACTCCTCACACAATACACATACAAAAAATACTCGCAGCATCGAACACCCCAAAAAAATACACAGGAGCCAGGAGCTACGATTCGACCTCTGCAACCACAAATAGGTGAGTACACGAGCAAAAACGCTGAGACGTAACCTCAAATATGCTTCCGTAGATTCTTAAAAGTTTACAATAGATACTGAAACCTAATATACAATGACCATGTCTAACAGAACACTGAACCCACACGCAAGGCTGCATAACTTGAACAAAATCGACGAGATACAACTGCCGTTCGTGAACTGTTTTTTAATACTCACCCCTGAAGGGAGGTTCCTTGATGTTGGTGAGGGGGCTCTTGATCTAGGAAATTGTATTTGTGCTTTAATTCCCTGAATTCCTTTCATTCCCCTCATTCCCTACAGGCGCTGTATAATTCCTACTAGTTTAGCGCACCCTAAAAATAATTTAATACAATAACAACACACGTTCATATAAAAGAATCATAAATTACAGGAACATAAAGAAAAATTCTCTGATACGCAGCACACTCGCCATCCAACAGTGCCGCAACACCCATTCCCATCCAAGCATTCCCACCCACCCTATCCCAGGAGCCTTGCAACTTAAGACACAGCCGCTTCCTTTCCCCACATACACGCCTCAGATCCCCCATTGCTATTATCAAATGCATACATGCCAACATGACACAAGTTTCGCTCACTGGGAGCTTTACGTGAACCTGATATGTATGCCGACCAAATGTTAACAAGACGCTTAGGCAACATTTTACTAGGAAATTTTTCGCTTCTGGGAGCCTCGTCAGTCAACCCTCTCGAAGTTTCCATATTAAATGTGTCCTGGTGCATCATTGTCTTATTTCCAAAAAAGAAACTGTTTAAATTGTAATAATAATAGCTTCAATTTTGTCTCTGCAGCAGATAGTCATTATAATTCTCGCGTGCAATTCGTTATTTTAACTTGATGTAGCGTAACTTGAACCGTCCTTAACACAAACAGCCGACCTGAGAAGCAGGACCGACTGCTGAAATGAACCCAAATTGATGGAAGTCAACACAGCTCCCAGCAGGAGAGTTGGTACACCTGGCTTGTGTGTGTTGTGAGTCTGGGACTCTTGATGATGATCTATAGCGAACCTGAGTCAGTAATGTTTCTGTAGTGCGAATCTCGACCACTGAGTGTTCCATGTAGGGGGAATCCGAACTACCGAGTGTTCCATGTAGGGGGGGGGGAGTCCAAACTACTGAGTGTTCCATTTAGTGGGTTTGGGCCACTTATGGCTCGAGGTAGCAAGTCTAGACTACATAACGTTCTTATATAGCAAGTCTAGACTACAGAACGTTCTTATATAGCAAGTCTAGGTTGCTAATGATTCAGCGTAGCATGTTTGGAACACTGAGAACTCGGTGAAGTGAGTCATCCTCAGAAACTGCTGCAGACGATTCAACATGAAATTTTTCGAATCCCATGACCCCTCGAGGAAGGTTCCTTGATGCTGGTGAGGGGCTCTTGATCTAGGGAATTGTATCTGCTCTAATACCCTGAATTAAGCCTAAATGCCTTCCATCCCCCCCCCCCACAGGCGACATAAAATCCCTCCGGTATTAGGGCTCCTCCATGATGATAATTTCGAATACCGTTCTTTCGAACGATCCTAATCCGACCGTATTTCAGTAGGATTCAGTAACTATATTAGAGACACACCTTGGGAAAAACGGTATAAAATACCGACAAGACTTGCTCATAAACTGGTAAAGCTCACTGTGTGAGCGAAACGTCGTTAGTTTAGGAGCACCTTACACTGCATTAATGTCTTTTTTTCCCTTCCATTTGTTCTTGTTTAATCAACTAATCCCACAAAAATAAATGTGTGTTTTCATTTATATTTATTCGTCTATATTTGGATGCAGGGATCGAGTTTTAGCTCATGGCCCATTCTTTCAATTTGCCGCTTACCAGATTCACTTCTTAGCTTCACGGGCATTGTTACAAAAAACGCGATTCTAAAAGCTTAGAGATCTTCAGTGAATACTAGAAAGGTCTGCCCTTCTAGCATCCAGCCTGTTACTGGGTTTTCGTAACAATTAGTCAGTATCCTTGTCCAATTATCCATTAGAATTCAGTATAATTCAATAGTGCTTCAGGATTACAACTGGTAGGCTACTAACTAGAGAAATTAAAATTTAATAAATTTATTAAGTCTAGAGGTATATTATCCAACTAAATTAAATTAATCACAGTAATCAAAATAATATTAATCTCTCTCGTATACAATAGTATTGTGCTGAAAGCACATATCACATTTATAATTCTTAAGTACCGTCTGGTACATTAACATTTAATAAGATATTACAAATATGTACAAGTAAGTTTGTGTATGTTGTTTGTATGTGTGTAAGTGCTCTAAGTAGTTCGCTAAGTCTCAAGACTCAACTAGACTTAAACAAGTGACTGACAAAGTCCTCACAAACTAACTTCTTGACCGACTGGCAACCAGATCAGTCTGCTTGAACCACAAAAAGAATGCTAAAGCCCAATAGCAATACAACAAGCGACTGTGACACAGAATCAGGAACAAGGAGATAATATAACGACACTAAGTAGGGAACATCTGCAGATCCTCCACAAAAGTCACAAAACTCCCATACTACTGAATCTAAGTTCAGCATAAGAAAATCCCCAACTGTGATAATACTCAGATACCAGTACAAGTTAAGTGAGAAGTTACAGCTCAGGACCTGAGATGTTTCGAGTGTCTATGTGACACACAACCTCAGTACAACGTCGAAAATCACTAAGTCTATACAATGTTCTGAGAACAGAGTTCTACAGAACTAACAAGAATAATGAGACAGACAATCTGTCCAACCAACAAGAGAGTCTCGAGCAGACTGAATACTTTAGGCGAGGTGAGGACACCCCCCCTCCTCGATCACGTGATAGCAACGTGGACAACTGCAGCTCAGAAGCCGGCAGTCTAACGAGCTACAAACGATAATTACAGTAGTTTGACAATCAAGACTTGAACTGAGCACATAATATGTTACATCCTAACAACATAAGTCAAATAACAATATAAAGCAATACATTTACGATTTAGCTATTATCGCAAATATAAGCAATATAAAATTATATGAAAAAGTAATATACATTATATATATATACATAATAATCATTGCAACCCATTCAGGGGTTGCAACAGGCATTGATGTGCCAGCTCTTAAAGCTGTGTATGGAGTCTGCCACAGCAACTTCGTTGAGGTCATTTCACCTTCTAACCATTCTGAAGAAATACTACCTGACATCTTTGTGATTCTTCTGTGTCTTTAACGTCCAGCTGTGCCCCCCCCAGTACCGGTTTCACACCTCTCAACCTAAACCAAGCTGCCTTATCGACTCCTTTGAAGATATTATCACGTCTTTCCAGGTTCTTGTCCTCCCAGTATCGTTAGGTTCAATTCGGTTAGCGTCCCCTCGTAGCTCGTAGCTCTGGACCAAGCCTCGTTGTGCTTCGTTATAGACCTCTACAATTTCTTCAGTTTCCTAAAATGATTTTTCAGGTGTGGATTAAATGCTGGTGGTGCCTACTCCAAGGTGGACCTGACATGCGCTGTATAAAGAATCCGGAATGACTAGATTCCAGAAGGCTTCTCTTAGCAAATGCTTCCCTGGCCAATCTGTGTGTGCGTTTACTCACCTATTTGTGGTTGCAGGGGTCGATTCATAGCTCCTGGCCCCGCCTCTTCACTGATTGCTACTAGGTCCTCTCTCTCCCTGCTCCATGAGCTTTATCAAACAACGTCTTAAAACTATGTATGGTTCCCGCCTCCACTACGTCACTTTGTAGGCTATTCCACTGCCTGACTACTCTATAACTGAATAAATACTTCCTAACATCCCTTTGATTCACCTGAGTCTTCAAACTTCCAATTGTGACCTCTTGTTTCTGTGTCTCATCTCTGGAACATCCTGTCTTTGGCCACTTTGTCTATTCCGTGCAGTATTTTATATGTCGTTATCATGTCTCCCCTGACCTCCTGTCCTCCAGAGTCTTCAGCCCGATTTCCCTCAACCTTTCTTCGTAGGACAATCCCCTTAGCTCTGGGACTAGTCTTGTTGCAAACCTTTGCACTTTCATTAATTTCCTGACGTGCTTGACCAGGTGTGGATTCCAAACTGGTGCTGCATACTCCAGTATGGACCTGACGTAAATGGTGCTCAGAGTCTTGAACGATTCCTTACTGAGGTATCGGAACTCTATCCTTAGGTTTACCAGACGCCCGTATGCTGCAGCAGTTATCTGATTGATGTACACCTCAGGA